AGAAATATGGTATTAAGAAAGGAAATAAACTTTATGAATGGATTCATATTCTGAATACTGATTTTAGTGGTACATTCACATTAACTCCTCAATACAATCAATACAATGAAGGCGTCTATACTCAATCAATATCTGATATTCCATATGAATTAAAAACGAAATAAAACAAAAACTCCAGAAAATTGTTATGTTGTGAGGTGATATTTCTTATCAAGGTTTATTTCCTAAGAAATCTCCAATTTTTATCGATGAATGGTTAGAGCTGACCATACCAGAAGATGATGATCGTCGTAAGAAAATACATTGTACTGGTGACAGATGTGCAAAATTTATTTGAACTATTGTAGTAGAAAAAGCAGCTAAAGAATTAGGTGATTTGCAAAATGTAATTTTTCAAGACGGTCAAGATCGTAAACAAAGGATGCAGATATTCTTGGATGCTATTAAACATGTTTTTCTCGATCAAATTGAATCAATAGATTGTGATGCAAAACTGGTCGACGTTTGACCTATAGAAAATGTTTTGGGTGCATTAAAAGAGAAGCTACAAGAACGAGAATAGAGTCATATTGAACAATTAAAAAATGATATTAAAGAAAGAAATGGCAGAAATTTAGTGTTTCTTTATGCTAACAAATGATAGATAAAGTATCAGCGATATTAAAATTAGTAATCGATCAAGGTGGTAATCAGATACAGGAACACTGATAATTTGATTTGTATTTTTTATTTTTTAAAGTTCTATTGTTTTAAAAATCATAACCAAGATTATGAGAAAAATTTCAAGAAATAGCACATGACAATGTTGTTACTGGTAATCGCCCATAATAAAATCTATAGACCTCAAACTTTGCAGTTATGCAGTATTTGATATGTATAATAATCTGCCAAAGTTTCAGGAAGTTTGTTTTTGTTGAACGTGAGAACGATGAATTCCAAAATAGCTACAGAACTTACGGGACACTCCTTATACACTTTCATCAACAATATGAATTTCATCAACTCTTTTCTTTTATTATGACTGTAGGACGCGCAGAAAACGGCCATTTAGCTTCACTATCACTTCGATCAAAAGTGTTCAAAGACCTCTTTTCATAGTGTTTTCATTTGGTGTCTCCTTGTCTAATTAGAACAGCCGATTTCGTTCTACAGTAATTGACAACTAACATTTGACCATCGATAAAACTATTTTAAATCTTATATTTATAGGTATTGGTATGCCATCTGAACTATGTTGAATAAAATCCAAAGTTACATCAACAAGAAAAAATTAATTTGGTAAACAAAAGTCAATTGTTTTGTAGATATATAAATGGTTCACTGAGTGAGCTGAAAATCAAATTTAAAAACGATTTTGAAGTGCCTCAGAGGCATGAAAAAACAAGTTATTTATAGTTCATCACCATTTATGTGCTTATTATTCCTTTCGCTACTTTTTGTACTGTTTTCCTATCTTTATTTTTCTTTTTCCTTTCATTACGTATTTCTTCGCTTGTGGCTGTATATCTGACGCTCTGTGATATCTGAGTTGCGTGTGTGGCTGTATCGATGTCGACTACAAGATTATTTCTTGTTTTTTCTTCTTTGCTTCTATCTCTTTCTCCCTGTTTTCATTTTTTTCTTCTCCTTCGTTTTTTCTTCTATTTATAAATGTTTTTATTGTAATGGATAAATACATTCGAAGACAGGTACTGTATAGTGCTCTACATTTGTCTTTATATAGACATGCGGATAGTGAGAGCATACTTTTTTGTCAATGTAATCTCAGCAATCAACGAATTAAAATCATCAAATTAATTTGGAGAAATGGACAGTTTAATCAAAATAATTTCATGATGTTGATTTTTTATTGGATTCAGGAAATCAGTTTGATTAAATTATCCGTTTCATCATCTCTTTGTAGATGAATTGTCATTATTTTGATATAAAAGTCATCATTTTTTTTCCATTTTCTGGATTATTAGGATGTAGTTTGTACAGTATTCAAGAGAGAGCAGTGAACTTCACAATATTTTTGGACTTCGATTTGAATGAATTCTTTGACAAAACCTCAAAAGTATACAGATGTCCGACAAATTATTGAACTTTACGAAAGTCCAAGAAACTATTAGAAATGATCTGAGAAATCATGAGTTCCTTCGAATCACGTGAAACATCATGAAGCTATAGGAAATCCAACAAACTTTATAAAACTCTTAGAATTAATTGGAGCAGACTTCAAATGATAAGACATGAAAAACTGGCTGTTTTTCGCTTTACAATATTTCATAAATTTCTCGACTATTTCCTGATGCAATATACAATGTTATTATGAAAATGATTCGGTCATCGACTATAATCCAGAGGCTACCTACCGCCACAACTATTCATTTGACTATTTGTTGAAACTTCTCGAATCGGCTACGCATATACAGTCCTGGACAAAAGTAATCACCCCTGCCCTCCCCCGCGCCAAACTGGTATTATTTCTTATGATATGGGGCTGATATGTTGGATGTAGATTGATCTTAGTGAATCCTAATTGCAAGCACCAACCTGACCTTAGTTGGTTGATTTAGATTGATGTTATCAGGTCAACAATACCATCAGATTGTGAAAGTCATATCTCAACCATTTTTTGATCTTTCCGTTCACGCAACTCCTCATTTGTAACCTCAATGGTGTGGCTATCTACATTCAAAATTTGGTAAGAAACTACCTTGAAATAGCGAACATCTGAAGTTCATATTGACAACTTTCATCAAGTAGTTAACCATAGTTTCTAGTCTGGCGTCAATAACTCAAGCTCAACTCAATTAATTCAGTTGAAAATTTCAGCAATAAGTTCTCATGAGACAACACATTTGTGGTAGAATTTTCACAGCTGTAACTTAATGTAAAGTGAAGATAGAACCATTAGAATAGTTCATTGCGGCACAGCTTGTCAATCGATGAAATCTCATTATCTTGCGAGGAGCTTTGGATCAATGAAACTAGGTGTCATTGGGTGTAAATAGCGCTAAAGAAAATGAAAATAATTTGTAAACGGATGAAACAGCGAACAAGCATTTTCTTAGATCACATTTCCCTTCGATTTCTTCAACATACCACATACAATGTGTTTATGTATAAAATACTTCTATACCACGAAGAATTTGGCTTCAGAATAATTTTACCGGTTTCATAGAGCTTCTCGTTAATTGTACTAGTCCTATATATACGTACTCTAGAGTATTCTAATAAAAAAATGAACATTCCCTGGAAAATGAGCGTAAATTCACTAGTATTCGGCAGTTTCGCATGCATAGGTGCATTGTATATGGTATGTTGAAGAAATCGGAGAGAAATGCGATCTAAGAAAATGTTAGTTCGCTGTTTCGTCCATCTACAAGTTATTTTTAGTTTCTTGAGCACTAGTTATAGCCGATGACACCAAGTTTCATTGATCCAAAGCTCATCGTAAGATAATGAGATTTCATCGATTGACAAGCTGTGCCGCAATGAACTATTCTAATGGTTCTATCTTCACTTTACATTAAGTTACAGCTCTGAAAATTCTATCGTAAATGTGTTGTTTCATGACAACTTATTGCTGAAATTTTCAACAGAATTAATTGAGTTGAGCTTGAGTTATTGATGTCAAACTAGAAACTATGGTTAACTACTTGATGATAGTTGTCAATATGAACTTCAGATTTTCACTATTTCAAGGTAGTTTCTTATCAAATTTTGAATGTAGATAGCCACACCAGTGGACTTACAAATTAGGGGTTGCGTGAACGGAAAGATCAAAAAATGGTTGAGATATGACTTTCACAATCTGATGATATTGTTGACCAGATAACATCAATCGAAATTAATCAACTAAGGTTGGATTGGTGCTTGCGATTAAGTTTCACTCAGATCAATCTACATCCAACATATCAGCCCCATATCATAAGAAATAAGACTAGTTTAGCACGCGAGGGGGTGGGGGCGGTTCCTTTTGTCCAGGACTGTGGATATCTTGTATTCAGTTGTTACACTAAGACTCTTCATTTTTACTATTTTGAATATCAAATCAAGAAACAGTTGATCTATGATCTCTTTCTTTCTCATCTGTTATCGCCACAAAGCAAAACTTATTCTTTATTCTTTGACAGTTTGCTTCAAATATGATTTGTGATTGGCAACGTCTCTGTTTTCTTCTTCTTCTAACTGCTGGATGTGCATGTTCGCTGAAGCAATCCGAATATATTTCATATTTGAAGCTATTAGACGATCCCTATGAAACAATGCTCTCGTCGCCTATAGTTACTACAGCGGCTCAAAATTATCCGACAAACAGACGTGCATTTTCATTACAAATGACTCAAACAAACAAGTTTGGCTTACCGAGGTGTGCAAAGCAGCATCAGGAATGTGGAAAAATCGGCATTGTTGGTGCTGGTGAGTTTTTGAGTGTTTGACTGGGGAATTATTCGGGCATCCGTATCAGTTCGCTGGGTAAATTCACTCTCATTAAGATATGCAAAAAAACTTGAAGCAAATACTTTAAATGTTGAGTTGTGCTCAAGTCATATACATTAAATGTCGTTCATTCAGAGTTCGGTTAGTGTGAGAACGAGCCTTTCAATGGGAAAGATTTTGTATCTGGTAAAACTACCAGTTGTTGCTGTGTCAATAGAATAGGCAAAAGCAATAAAATTATTGACATAGAGGGCAATGCTTGCACGTCCCACGCAGTTACGCTGCTAGTTGAGATCGATGGTTTGCGAACATTGAAATTCTAGTACGTGACAATAATGGAATCGATTAAGTTTCGTTTGTCATACTCAAATCGAATTGCTAACTACGAAGTATAGAAAAATAACAAGTTGTTTATTTTTGGTAAAAAGAAAAGATCTCTATAACTATTCTTAATTCTTTTATAACACTGTCCATTGAATTTTTTAAAGATTCAAATCATATATTGAAGCATCTAGGAAATAGTTGAAAATGAATGAAGTTCATACCTGAATCTTTCTGATCAAAGCTAAATTATGCTTGTAGGCATTTCTGGCTTGTATTCTGGCATACTGTTGGCGAAAGCCGGTCATACAGTAATCATTTATGAAGCAAGTGATCGAGCAGGTGGTCGCATTTTCAACTATCGTGATCCAAAAAATCCATCAATATATATGGGTGAATTTGGAGCTATGCGTTTCTCATTGGATGTTCACTCTTATTTGAATACTTTAATTCGACATCGATACAAATTGAAAATTGCAGAATTTGTTCAAAACAATGGTAACGCTTATACATACATCAATGGAATTTTTGCTACAGTGCGAGATGCTCGTGAAAATCCAGACATATACAGATTCAACACGCATCAAAGCGAACGTGGAAAGGTATGACTTAGTGTTTGTATGAAAAATGTTATGACAAGTATATTTTAGACTCCTGAACAATTATGGCTGAATGCTCTTCAACCTATTTTGCAAACACTGGAACAAGGAGGATGGTTAGCGATTAAAAATGAATGGGATTCATATTCGATTGCATCCTATTTGAAAAGTGTCAATATGTCACGTGGTGCTATCGACTATATTAGCATTTTTAAAAATTATGAAAACTTCATTTATGTATCCATTTTGGAAGCCCTTCGCTCGACACTTGTATCGGGTTCTGGATCGAAATTATATCGTATTGAAGGTGGTAATGATTTATTGACACAAGCGATGATTGCTGAATGTCGCGCGATAGAGTTCAATCGGTGTTCTATTGTGTACTCGACACCCATTACTGAAATACAATTGTACGGATCGAACCAAATTCGATGAATGACAAAAAATGGCACAAGTAACATTTTCGATACAGTAATTGTGGCAACAACTGCAACTGCTGCTGAATTAATCAAATTCGAAAAACGAATCGATTTCATCGACAAATATCGAGCATTGCGACAAGTCCATTACAGTTGTTCAACGAAAATTCTTCTTTTCTTCAATGTATCGTGGTGGTGCACACAAGAGAAGCTCACCCAAGGTCAATCAGTTACTGATTTAAATATTCGTAGAATTTTCTATCTAAGTAATAATCATACTAATGGCGGAACGATTCTCGCATCATACACTGCTGGACTTAATTCTCTCCAATGGCAATCTTTATCTGAATCAGATGCTATCGAATTAACTTTGCAGCAATTGATTCAACTTCATAAAACATCATCAAACATGCGCGACTATTTCGAAGGTGGCAAAGTTCAGCATTGGTGCGGAGATCCGTATGCACATGGAACTTTTGCTAGATTCATTCCATTTCAAGAAACTGATCTTCTTGATCAATTACAAGCATCCGTATCAAATATTCATTTTATCGGTGAGCATACCACATCAATTCGTGGCTCGGTTGAAGGTGCTATCGTCTCAGCTTTACGAGAAGCTTTGTTCATTACGGCACAACGGATAACAATATTCGATGCGATTATCATTGGTGGAGATCCAGTCGGATTGGCAACAGCCGTATTTTTATCATTGAAAAAACCCAATTTTCGTATTGCCATTGTTGATAAAGGAGCTATCATCGACTCTTATAATGCACTCGATCGACAACAATTTCGACAAATGTTCAATGAAGAGTATCTCATTCAATTGGCCAATATGTCATTTTCACTTTGGCGTCAATTGGAACGATTAGCTAATCTTTCACTTGGATCAATTCTCAATACGAACGATGGATTTCTGTTATTCGGCGATTTGAATAGAAATCAATCAACAATCGAAGATAATTTGATATCCATCAAGAGAATATATGGAAGTCTTCAAATAAATGGCGAATATTTAAATAACACACAATTGAAAACACGCTATCCAATGTTTACATTTCCTCATCAATATGAAGGCATTTTCTACAATCAATCGGGTTATATCAATGTAACGGCGCTCATGATTGCTCTACTTCGTATTATCGATCAAAATCCGAATATTATCATTCGAGAGCACGAAGAATTTTTATCATTACAATTATTCAATAATCAAACACAATTGATAACTGACCGTGGTATTTTGTATGCTTCTCGAAAAGTTCTCTTTATTCCTGGTCCAAGTATTAACAATGTCTCACGTTTACTTAATTTTAATCTTAATGTGATAGTTTGGAAACTTCCAATTTACTATTTTCGTCATTCTTCATCTATTAATAGATTACCAAACTGGCTTGCATTGAGTGATCATAATTCTCAAGTACTCTTTTCGGGCTTTTCTATCCATTCGATATCTAATTATCTTGTTGTCAAACCGCATTTCATCCGAAATATGTCGAATCCGTTGATATATCTGTCTCAACAGACAAATACAATCGATCCATTCCTTACGGAACAAGTCGTTGACTGGGTCTCGCATCATCTAGGAACATGGGTCAATGTATCGGATTATTATTTGAATGGTCAAACCTATTTGGAAACAGTTCTACTGGATAATGGATTTTTACTTGATTTTGTGCCACAAACAGATGATCGAGTTTTGATGCACGCTGCCGGATCAGAAATGGGTTTTGCGCCTGTTTGGGCTGATATTTTATCCGAAATGATCCTGTTTGATAGGAATTTATCGTCAAAATATGCAAAATATCTCGACTATTTCTCAATAACACGGCCGAATCGACTCATCGAAGAAAATACACCGAATAAAGGATTTCAATTGGCATCATCCTCTTTATTTTTCGTGTGGTATTTTGTATGGATTTTGAACATTCATTGGTTGCCTAAATTTTGATTTCAAATAGTGCATTCGAACAGAACTTTGTAAACGAACTCTATCAATGTTATTGGCTCCAGATTAAAGCAATTGTCTCTAGAACCAGCAATAAATTCTGTTATGCGTGTCGTGCGCGGGCTCGGTATGGTTGTGCTCGTCACTAGGACTGACACCTAAACCCTTTTTGTCATTTTTGAACGATGCTTATTTTAGATCTCAAATGATAAGACATGATGAAAATTTTACAAATAATTACATAGAAACTTTTTCACTCAAACAGTACTTATCGCGAAGTCGATATGTTTTAAGTTACTTAGTATCGAAAAATTGACCTCCTTTTAGACACTGATTCGATCATTTCACTGTGAGACACTACAATTCAGAAGACAATAAATTGGTATAGTTGTTAGAGCTTCACAGCATCCGATGTTTGAGAAAATCGTACTGTTCATTGCTTTTGCTCTAAGGAGCGATATGGAAAAATTTAAAACATCAGATCAACCAAACCTTGCAGAAGCTAGTAAAGATGCAAAGGTTTCGGATTATAAAAAGAGTTATTGTGAGAATTATTACACGTGCATGACTGAAAACCAGACACAACTCTATTACATTAACTTGAAACAAACTTTTATATAGATTAGTTAGAAGATATACTAAGTCATAAAACTCAGTCAAGTTATTCATAATTATTATGATATTCCTTAACTGGTATATGGCTTCTCAAAAAGTTTTAAACTTGACGAAAATGCAACTTTCTATAAGCCATTCAATGTATTCGTTAATTTGTGTTCTATGAGGAAAACTATACCCAGATTGAACCTATCGAATTGCCTATTTGTGAAATCGAAACATTGTATTTTGTTTTGAATGATATGTTACTTGAAAAATTACAATAACATCTCTGTCCTCATGCAACGAGTATTCTTCGTAATAAAACGACCGTAATGAACAACGATAACAATTACTTGAATAAATACGCGATCAGAAATATGAATGAAAAGGATCAGATACTATGCAAGACAACTATGTTGTTATTTTTCAATTGAATAGTAAAAGAGGCTGATTTGTGGTAATCTTTTATCAGAAAATCGTAAATGGCATCGTCGTGAGATAATACTACGTCAATATCTTGAAACGAATTGGATACAAGGTAAAAACAAAAAAACTGAGCATACTTAAGTGTGTTCTATGTCCACGTAATTCAAATAATTATAGCAAAACTAATTATTAGAAAAATACACGATATATACATGAAATGCATATCATGGTTTAAAGATTAACTAGCATATTCTCCTTATAACCTGACTACCATCAATAACAAAAAATAACAAATATCAATATATTAATTCCAAATAACATATTTTTGAAGTTGTTTCGTTATTTTTGATAAATAAAATGCATGATGAATCCAAGAGGATGATTACTTTACAGTAGGTAGTAAAACATGAGTATGAGTCATTTTGGTTATACATATTCATTTTTATTGTTGAATACCATTATTAATAGTATGAAATCAACTTGTATGAATGCATCTATTTTGAACATTACAAATCGTATATATCTACTCGCTCTCATTCGCGCAACATACTACGTCATTCGTCTTATGTAAATTGAATACATTAGAAAGAAAAAGAAAGACGAACGGTACATCAATAATTGCTCAGTTGCATCTACGACACTAACATTAATTAATCATGCAACAAGCATGTTGATATATTCGTATAGGTGGATAGCTGATAACTATATTTTGATTGATTAACGGCGGCAAACAGCTCTATGTATGATCAATATATTGTTCGATCTGCTGATTTGTATTTAGATTGTTGAAAGTAAGAGACAGACGACGGCATTCTTTCGAGAGAAATAAAAAAAGCCATGAACTTAATCTCATTCAAAATATAATTCTTTATGCTTGATTAATGAGCATATTATGAGAGAGAGTGTGAGTGTGGGTAAGGAGAAGTCTGATATTTGCTATCGACATCCACACGTACACTCCAAATAAACCTAAACCATTTGTTTTACAATTTTTGAATATTTTCTGAAAAATCCTCAAATAACTTTTGCTTGCTGGATATATTTTTGTTAAGATCAATTGATCGATCTCTCATCGAGAAGTAATCAAGATTTTGTTTGCAAAGAGCACAAGACTGTCAGTTGATGATTTTTATCAAAATTGCAATACTTCTGTATTATCATTCAGTAATGACTTGTTCAATCGTTTCCAATCTCATATCTATCAGAATAAAGGACGTTTAATATCGAAAAAGAGTGAAATATTTATTGCATTGATCAAGTCGTTCTTTGAAGTCTTTATTGTTAATCTCTATATCGTGAATGTTGGTGACAAAAGAAACTGTCACGAGTGTTGAAGTGTTCCGATTGACTAAGATTTCTATAGATTAAAGACTAATGATGTTTGAATCGAAGAAAGTGAAAATATTCAAATTTTCGATTGATTGAATAATTGATTTACTATATTATTTGTCAAACATTTACAATAATCTTCGACCTAGAATTGACTCGATTCTCTGCTGAAGAAAAAAATGAGATTAGGATCTTTGTATTTTGCGAACCGAATGCTTCATTCGATTTGATTGACCGATGTTTTTGTAAAAGAAAACTGAAACAGAGAAGTATTGTTTTCTCATTTAAATTTACGAGTAAACGATGATTATAATGGTTTCTTTTGATCTAGTAACAAAGATTTTATAAGAAATAAAGGCTACCTATTCAAAAATTCTATAGATTTGAATAGGCTTCAATAGGCTTCAATTGAGCGGTAAGAGTGAAATTTTCTTCGGTCAATAATCAAATTAAAAACAATATGACGGATCAACTTATCAAAATCAATGAAATTTGTAATGGAAATATTCAAGAAAATTAACTAGAATGAATGAATGAATGTGTGACAAAAATCATCGACGCGATCGATATTCAGAAGAATTTCAATTATTTATCTGAGATGAGCCAAATAAACAGTAGAAAAGATAAATCCAAGAGTCAAATTATTTGTAAACCTGGGAATTAGATCAACATTGTTTTCACTGTAAATGCATCTGAATATCTTTATGTTAAAATAAAAGGTTCTTAGACAAATGAAATTCTATCGTTGACAATGTAAAATAAATGAAATCAAATCAATGGATTTAATTTGACTTGTTTTTCTTCTTATTTTCGTTCAATATTCGTATTCTTGTTATTGTCTCTACTTTAGCAATTTCCAAATACTTCATGCGGAAAATCAACAGCAAAAACAAATAAAACAGATTGATAATCTATACTGATAATTTTTTTTTAAATATTTGATCTATGAAAAAATTTTGTCAACAAAAAAAAACAGAATATCAATCGTAACATGATGTTTTTTCGAATAAAACTTAATGAAATGGACTTTTATGTTGACGAAAACTTTTCATATTTGTACTCATTATTTTGTTCAGTTATTCGATCCATTTCATTTCTCTGATTGTTTGTAATTTCAAATGTTCTGTCGTCATATTAGTAGTAGAACTTTAGAGATTTACTTATCTGCATTGATCTATGCCAAATGTTTGTTCATAATTATCTTATTTTATTATTCAATAGTTTAGTTTTCATCAAATAAAAGGAAATCTCACATAGAAATCTTAGGCCCCATCAATGTCTCTCATAATTATCTAGAAACTGTTTGTTGAAAACAAGAGCCAATGAGGAATAATAACAATTCCAATCAATTTGATTACTTTTTTGGCAAGAATAGATCAATTCAATTTAACTATAATATAGATCATTGAAGGTTATTCTTTGTTTTACCAACGAAGAGAAATTTCTGTAGAATATCTAATTAATTAAAAAAAATATTATCGTCAATTGTTTCAACTTGTTGTTAAACATCTGATGAAATAAAATGAAAAATTTCCTTATTCTATTTGTGCGTCATTTTTCTGTCACATGTCTGTTGTAAACCTAGGGACCAAGCCCTGTTGGGTACCAATTCTTATTGGAAACATGATGCTTGACTGTGATTTATATCAGTGACAAACACAAATTTGATCAAGAAAAATATACAGATTTTATCAACAGAGTAGTTGGGTTTAGGTGTGGGTGTGGCTGAAGGTGTAAGAAAGTCATTACCACACCCGCATTCAGACTCACACCGAAATCAGTTGACACATTTAAAGTCTCGTTGAACAAAAAAATAGATATTAAGAAGTCAATGGTTAACGCAGTAAAATCAAGTCAAGAACAACGTGAAAAAAATGTATTTTCCAGCTTGAAATTTCGGATTTTAATGTGCTGAGAATTTTGAATGTGTTGATACTTGTAAAAACTGTCGATAAAATGTGTATTTTTCGAAAGCAAAAACTATTCGTTGTAATAACTTCTAACCTTCTTAACTTGTTTGAAAGCGATGAGAATATCTTTAAAACAGCATTATAAGGAAACCTTGACGCGTTTAAGTGCGTTTTCTTGAAAGTTATGTCTATCTGGGTAGTTATTAAATGCTTACAGTCGTCTTAGTCTTGCTTACTTCATTTAGCTAGAAAATGTTTTCTTATACTAGCAAACAACAAATGTTTCTCTTGATAAGAGGAGTTAACAGTTCTCTATCTTGTCAATCAAGAGCAGCCTAGTCAAAGAAATGGTTCAATTAAAACTGTAATCAACTCTTTTAGAACAAACAACAAAAATAAGAGAAAATAATTCAAGACTATAAAGTTCCCTAGATTGACGGCGATAGCAAATGTTTTATTATCTCTTTTTGCTAAGCAACGGTTAATGTTTTTTCGTATATTTCTTTTAGTTATTACCTTCAATGAATCTTCTTCTTCATCCTATTCTTGTCTTTGACACAATCGATTCTTTGTTGTTTAATCTAGGGATCTCGTTTCATGTTCTCTTGGGTGCATAATCTTTGTAGTAATTCTGTCCAATGTTTTTCTACATAAAAGTATGAATTAATTGGGACTATTTCTGTTCTAAAATCTTCCTCTAACAACTATCTATAGTCAAATATACATGATCATTGTATTTTC